TGCAAAGAATGTGCGTCACTCTGCATGACATCGACGACATCTTTTGATATCGCTTTTGTCAACATGAATTCTGTACTAGACACATCACAACTGCCACAAAAAAATCGAACGTTATCAAACAGCACTTTCTTGCGGTCTTCTATTACTTGAATTAACGATGGACAGGATAAAGTTGAAGCTATCGCTTTGTAACAGCGAAAATGTTGGTAGTCAGTAGCCAAAAAGGAAAATTTAACTGACCAGCAATCTCTTTGCAAGACTCGATGACAACAACCTATTTAACTTGCAGCATGGTATTTATGCGACATACTATTCATGCTCACGGAAATAACTGCGATAAAAATTGATACCGGCATCATCTAATTCAAATTGCTTGTTCTCTTCAGCACCAAACGCGTTCGGATCGAGTCTTTTGAGCAATTCGATCAGCGGAATTCGATTGTTAGTCCACGCTTCCAGCAGCTTATCCTTTACAACAGTGGCTGCTGATAGACTGGGATCCAACTTGTTGTTTGTTGTTAATGCTATTGAGGTCGAGCTTGCGAGGTTTTCTATCTCATTTGTCGCCACTTTGACCTCGTTAGAGATTGACCAGATGTAATCGCTCAAAGTCTCCAATTTGTAAATCACGAGATATTTTTCGTCATCATTGTGAAATTTTAACTTGTCGAAAACTGTCTCTACAGAATACTTTTTCGCTTTCCAAAAGTCGAGTCGTTCACGGTGCAGTGTCGACGCAAATGAGTTAGAATAAAGTAGCCTCATAGCTGCTATAGTCTTAGTCACTTCCACTTCTCCGTAAGTCTGTTCAAACTTATCAATCGTCGCGGTTGGAGAAGATTTAACAGCATGCATATGAAACATCTCCAATTTACCTTTTAGAAATTCGGTAAAAGCCTCGTCGCCAAAACGCAGTCTGTCCCACACTGAATCCAATGGTAATTTATCCCACATTTCAAACAAATGCTCTCTCAGGGAGCTCAATCGTGTGTCATGCTCTATTTCCAAAGGTAAAAAACCGTCTCCACCATAACGTTTCGCCAGAAATCCAATAAATTTGCCCCAAACAAAAGCGTCGACCAAGCTCTTATCTGTAAGTTTATGAGAGGCGCGCAACATCAAGAATTGAAAGAAATCATCATACTTTCCGTTACGTATGACTGTGGTAAGACTGTCGTCAAATTTCAGAAGATCGAAAACTTGTTCGAGAGAAATTTTGTTTATCATAAAAGTGGCCAATTGTTCATTTATCAACACCCTAATTATTTCTTGATCATGATCTTTCGCCATCGACAAGTCATATAGCTTTTTGAGCGAGAAACTGTCTTTGTATATCTTTGG